CTGTCGTTAGCATGCAGGTATCAGTCCTTGCCAAGAACTGCCTCATGGTCCACGATGATGCCTAGCGTTCTAGATGGCACCAGATTCAGAGTGAAATGGGAGAAAGCAAAATGTCTCTGGCTTTTTCCAGTATCTCTTCATGCTTTGATCTGCTACATCTTACAGGCTGATGTCCACCCTGCCTGTAAGAGGCCTTGTCACACGCGTGACACTGGAGGAGAGGAACACCTGCTGACCAACAGTGGTCCAAGCCATCATCTTGATCCCCCAAATCTTTTGGCAGTCTCATGGTTACAGGGCTTGTCCCATGACAAAGCTGTGTGCACATCCTCCTTTGTTAGGAGCAAAGTTGGGTGCCCTTTTCAAGCTGTACCCCAGACTGGCAAAGTTTCCTTGATTATATTTTGGGGGTCCAGTTACCCCGTGCACTGAGGCCTGGAGGTAGTGGTAATGGTGATGTCCAGGCTGATCCAACAGCTCTGACTATCCACTGGGTGAGGGGCTGGTGTTCTGGCAGCCAAGGATGTGCTGTGTCTCCATGGGACAAAACGCAAGACTGTGGAGCATCGTGAAGAACCAAAGATTATTCAACAAGCTGCTTACATTTCCCGAACCCAAACTCTTCCAGTAATCCTGGTCCCACACAAGTTAAAGGAAGATCTTTTGAGAGCCAGACTTTGTTTTTACTCTTCCAAGTCTGCTCTCAGTTCACTCAAGCCCATTTGAATACCTCTACTTTGGAATCACAAGGCCACAGAGCCTTGTAGACGGGGTTGTTCTGTAGCAATGGGGTTTCAGTGTCCTCTGCTCCCTGCCCTCAACCTCCACCAATTTACAGCCACCAGCAAAAATGAGAAGACATTTATTGAGCTGTCTACAGCAGGTTGACAACTTTAAAATCCCAGACAAGGGTGTAAGCACAGCATTAATGGAGGCAGAGTAGTTCTATGGTGTGTCGGGTTTTCTCTCTCTGGCGGATGGTGGAACCCAGGCTGGTCCAGCTCTGATGAGAGCCTGGAGCCACATCTGGAATGCCAGGGGCTGTACCACTGCAGCCCTGGCAGCACAAAGCTACAGAAGACAGACATCAGACAAGACACATGGCTGAGTGCAAGCACACCCCAGGACCTGGAGATCAGGAACAAGTGGGGGCCAGATGAGTACACCAAGTCCTTGAAGGATTGCAGATGGTATCACAGACATGCTCACAGCAAGCACATGGAATTCAAGAGCAAACCTAGCCAGCTGATGAAGACAAACCTGGACCTCTGTGCCCACCAGAACCCCAAGGCCATATTCCCAGTGCTGGTGGTTTTACAAACTAGGTAAAAGCCAACCCAGGAAGGTTCGAAACAGGAGACAGCCAGTCAGTTCTTTGGGGGCCTTCTCAGGAATGGCTCCCAATCTGTTATTTCCAAAGATCCTTCATGCACCATGGGTGTCTCACCCCACTCCCCCAGCTCTGGCTTTGGGGCTGTCATGCCCTCCTCATTGACCAGAGGCAGAGGGCAAGCCTGGGGCTAGGAATCATAGAAGAAACCAGGTTAGAGTAGACATCACACTCTGATGACTCCAACTGCTTATGGAGCCCAGAGACCCATGGCCAGGGTCTCTGTCCTGCAGAAGGTAGCTTGTTACTGGAGGGCTGGGTGAGGGTCACATTCCTGCCCTCTCACAGGGCTGCACACATAGCTGGGGCCATTTCCTTATTCGGGTGTGTGCAGGGCCTTCTGTGTGTCCTTGTCAGCCCACTGGAGGTTTGACCAGCAGACCTCCAAGCTCCTCCCAGCACTAGTACCTTGTGATGGCTGGGGACCGAATCAAGGTCAAGCAGGTTAACGGCACCGTTGAGATGCCCCATTACCCGCTCCCTCTAGCTTCCTGGCCCCTCTCTCTTCTTTGGGAGGGGGGCCCTGAAGGGGCCATGGTCTTCAAAGAACTAAGAAGATGATCCTTCTGGCTCTCCCTCAGGAGGGCAGGTCAAGGCTTTGAGACCAAGTGAGTGGTGATGGATGCGGGGTGTTTCTAGTTTTGGGTAGGCGGGAACTCCCTGACCCTAATCCCCACACAATCCAGGACAGAAATGACCAGATTTGAGGGGAATCACTGAGGGCTCCTCATCAGCTTCCCACGGAAATGGAAAATGGGGTCTTGCCTGAAGCATGTGAAAGTTCCGAGCTCACAGTGCAGGGAGCCACGCAAAGCTGCAACACCCACAACCATCTGAACCCGCCCTCCCCCCCAGCTTTCCTGTTACTCGGTATTCTGCAGATCTATATACCATCTCCTGAGTCTGCTCAGCCTGTCCCATGGATGCATGTTCATGAAAGAAGACAAGAGATATCCTCCCATCAAGAAGACCTCATGTGGGGGGGGGGGGTATTCAGCCTCTCAGACTGCACAGAACAAGAGCCCTGCCCCAAGACGGGCCATCCTCATCTGTCAACTACGCTTCCTTCAATCCCCCTGAGGCTGATGGCTGGTGTTAGACAGAACCCAGGGGCTCCCCAGGCTAGGCAAACCATGCAGTCCTTGTGCCCCTTCTACAGAACTGTAAAGAGGCCAAAGGAAAGGGCTTTACCAGGCATTGTGCTGTGCACCTACTGCCTGTGACCTAGAGCCAGAACCTCCTGGAATATTCCAAATATATCACATTGGCACAAACTCATTTAGACAGAACCCCCCATAGGACCCTAGAATCTCTGGGATACCTCAGGCCTGGGCACTGAGAGCAGTGGGTCCAGGTGGACTTTACTTTTTCCTGATAATGGGTCTGACCATCACTGTTTCTTCCATGTGAAGCAAATCTGCTCATGGGGATGACTGCAAATAACGGGGCCCACACCTTAGGGATTGCTTCTTGGATCTGAGGTGTCATGCAGTCAGGACATCTGACCCCACCAGAGGTAGAAGGCTGGGTCTCTGTGCTACTCCCAAGGTCCATGGCCTTGGCCTTTCCTCTGCTCAGACAGCTTCCACTGTGGTTGGCCAAATGAGTGAAAGGAGTTTGGTTTCTAAGAAAGGGAAAATAAACATCGTCCTCCCACTCCTACACAAACAGGCACAGACACAGACACAAACACAGACACACACACACAATCTTACATGACACACACAGGGAGTGACACTTGCCATTTTACCTGCCTAAGTTTTGAACTGGAAAGTTACTAAAGTACAGAGCCTGGAGAAGCATTAGAGGCCACATTATTTCACAAATGGGGAAACTGAGGCTCAGAACAAGGAGCATTGTGTCCATAGTCCCAGCCGTCTGAGCCTACCTGGTACAGAGCCCAGGTTTCTGAATCCAGGCCCCTTCCAAACATCTCAGGTCCCCTAGTAGTGTCTGAAATCAAGGCGACAGCAGACACGTGGTTGGCTGATACAACCTGACCTCCAGAGCAAGGGAGGCGATCATGGGGATAGGGGCAGGGCAAAGGCCACTGCACACCCAACACCCTCAGCCAGAAGAAGTCACTGAGCAGGCCTGGGAAAAGTTAGGGAAGATCTTCCTCTAGCTTTGCCAAAGACCCAAGAACTTACCTAGCCAGCCAAGGACACAGGACTCATCACTAAATTAGAGCAACGAGTGCTTTCTCCCACCAGCCACTCAGACCTCTCCCAGAAGCACTGCCCCGTGTCCCTTTATGAAACCCAGTGAAGCAACAGTCCCTGCACCCCAAGCATTCCAGAACACTGCCATGATGCAGGTCCACAAACACAGACAGGAACAAGAGCAAGAGCAGACACAAAATGAACTGGGCCACATGAGCCCCTGGCTCTCCAGCACCTTCCTCTACCTTCAACCAGCCTGGTCTGGCCTGACTTTCAATTCTTAGGCTGTGGCCATACAACTTACCACTGTTGGGGGGGGTCAGGATGGACAATGGGGGGCCCACTCTATCCATCCACAGCCTCTGCTAACAGTGGGGGGCATAGCACCCCCCCAAACACCCTGGCAGCTATCTGCAGTGGCCCAGTGTCCAGGGCACACAGGGAAGTCTTTGCATCTATTTCAGAGTCTGGTACTGGAGCCCAGGTGTCTGGGGCTCTTTGCCATCTACAGAGGCAGGGAGACGGTCCTTGGGCCCTTGCCTCGGGCACGTGGAGATGAGCAGTGCTTCAGACTCACAGACTCTCAGGAAGACAGCTGGGTCATCCTAGTCATGGCTTTGACTTCAGAGGGGACAAGGAGTAACTGGAGACTCTGGGGAAGTGGGAGCAGCTACTCTGGGCCACCACCAGGGACAAGAGGGACAGCAAGGAAGCCACCAGAAGAGCCCAGCCCCACTTGAGTCTGGAACACAACGGAGATGGCAAAGGTCTGCCATGGGTCCCCAAACCTCCCCATCTCCATCCCAGTTGCATTTCTGGCTCTCAGTTCTTCTTGGATCAAGTGAAAAGCACCAGAACTTTTCTGACCATCAGCCCCATCTCCCTAACCGATGTTCTGGTACCCAGTAGCTGGGCATCTGGACATCAAGACACCAGGTGAGCATGAGGAGGCCTGGGGCTAGCCTGCACTGAAGGACAATGGGCCTCCCGAACAGGACCTCTGGTAAGGGCTGAGCCCAGGCTGAGAAAGGCCCATGTCACACACTGACGGGCAAGGGTGAGCACCAGCCCACCTCCCCAAAGCAGGGTCTCTCTTCAGCCTCAGTTCATAAGGCCATGCCTGGGGTCAGGCCATCACCCAGGCAGGCCAGAATGCAGGGTGTCGCAGAGCCGGAGGTGGGAAAAGGTGAGCAGGATATGGGGTAGGGGATGGATAGGGCAATTATCCAAATTTGAGGAATATTTACATGTCAAATCAGGACCCAGGGGACCACAATGGGGAAGGGCCTATACCCAAACAAGGGGCCTCCCTCTCCCCCTTGGAGAGGAGCCCTGCTTCCCATCCAAGACCTGCCCAAGGAGGGGGAGAGGCACACACCTGTGCAGGCCTCTGCCCACAACCCCAGCCTGTGCAGGAAGAGGGAGAGGGGAGGCTCAGGAAGGGAGGTTCAGGTGGCTGGATTGTCAGCCGGGAGGCCGGACATGCGGAGCTGGGAGCTGCTCTTGCTCAAGATGGAGAGCTGGGTGCCCCCGTTCACCCCGCTGCTGGCCAGAGATGGGTGCCGCTGCTTGAAGTCCATGGTGAAGTAGCGGTTCACCTTCCAGCTCCGCCATTTCCTCTTGATCTCCGCCTGCACCTGCAAGGGGTAATTTCCTGTGACTTCCTAGACACCCTCCCCAACTGCTAGCCTGCCCTGGCTTGGAGTCTACCCATTGTCCCTGTCTGACCTGGGGTCTTCCCACTGCCCCCACCACCTCCAGCCCTTCCTGCTCCCCTGCTTCACACAGCCTCTGAGAGGCTTCTAGATACCTGCCTGCCTGTGCCTGCCAGAGAGCAGTCCTGGGGCTCACAGGGCTCTACCAAGCATTCTCCTTGAGCGGAGAGATCAAGGCAAGGGTCTTGGCCTTGGCTGACTAGCACTGGGATAGTCCCAGCCCTTGCTGACCACCATCACCAGGATGGTCCCAGCCCTCACAGAGCCAGTTTATGTGTCCCAGATATCCAGCCCTTATGAACAGTGACATCAGCTCCTCCTGGCAGACACAGCCTCTGCGACTTCCCAAGTGACACCAACAGCAGTCAGGGCTGACAGCCACTAAGTGGTGTCATCCGCCCCTGAGCAAACACAGGCCCACACAGCTGCTGGTACAGTGAGTGGGGCCACGCCCAGGGAATCTCTCCCTCCATACACTCCTCCTGCCGTATAGCTTTGTGCTGTGTGCAAACTGCACGGCTGGATCCAGCAGCACTAACCTCTCCACTTCTGCCTCCCACCTCCTCTGCAGGCCCTGCCCAGCTACCCAAACTCACCCAGACACCTTCCACAAGACCATCTCCGCCTCTCCTCATCTGTCCTAATCTGACCCTTGCTGTAGGCTGACATGGCAATCACTGAACCCAATATTCATTCTAGCCTCAGTTACAAAATAAGGGGAAAGTCTGCTGGGTCAGGACCATGCAGTTAGATGGGAGCTCTGGGCAGACAGCTGCTCACTCCTCAAGTACCTTCCCATCCCATCTGCCCCACCCCCACACCTCTGCTCTGGGCTCCAAAAAGCCAGAGAAGAAGCCCCAAGCCATTGCCCTAGAGATGGAGCGCTCTAGGATGGGTCCAAGTGTTTCCCTAGGGTCTGTTTCAAGCCCTCACCACCACCCCTACTTCCACAGGGGGCAGGTCTGGATCAGACAAGCTGGTCTGCTGAGGGTGACTACCAGTTCTAGCCAGCACAGCCTCCTGGCCCAGCCCCAGCCACCACCAGCCTGCCCACTGCTTACTGACAACTCCTCTCCTTACTGAATGTCTGATGGCAAAGAGGTTCTGGGCAGCTCTGTGCCAGCAGCACAGATGCCCTTGGGGAGCAGAAACACTCTGCAGATTGGGCCTCAGTGGCAAAGATGGAGAGATTCCCCACCCGGATGAAGACCAGGGGCCGCATGGCAATTGTGCAACCAGCCTCCCCTCCCCAGTGCAGGGAGCCTTGCAGAGCACTGCAGACAGAGCATTTATCCCAGCTGCTCCCTGATGAGTCCCACCTCCCTGCTAAATGCCAGTACCTTACCTCCCCATTCAGGAAGCAGTACAGCACGGCCACCACGAAGCCCTGGGGAAAGAGGATAGTACACCTGAGAGGCCCTTCTGCAATGCAGTGTTCACCCGCAATGCTAGGAGGGTGGGGGGACACCTGGATACAGAAAACTACACGCCGGGTAGGGGACAGCAGGGATCTAGAGTCCTGTGCTGTATAGGGGACATCTGCCCACCCTAAAGAGTATACCCAGGGAACCAGATCAATCTAGTCCCCACTGGTGCCCCAAGGCCTTGCATCACAAATCTCCTTAGTCAAACCATTCCTGCAAGCATTATGCCCACCTTTGGTCTTTCCCATTGCTGACAGGAAGTGCACTTTAAACACCCAGAACAGACTCTCAACTAGTGCCCAGGCTCCTGAGGGGGAGAAGACCACGCAGGATGGAGACACCTGAATTGTATTTGTTCAGCACCATTGCCCTTGTCCCCTGCCCTTCCCCCTCAGCCCTTCCTCCTCGGCTCTCCCTGACCAGACACTTCTGTATGTAGCAGAGCAAGGACCACGCACCCAGTAAGACCTCAGCTACTCCCCCTCTACAGCAGAGGTAGCACTAAGACTTTCCTGATGCCTCTGGTCTGCTCCCCACATTCCCTGGTCCCTTCCTTCTCAGCCTGAAAGATGGGAGACTTGGGTTCTGATTCAGGGGTCAGAACTTCACCTATACAACTCTGAGCCTCACGAAGCTAAGTGCCAAGTAAAATGGTCTTGAATAAAAATAGGGGCAGATGTACAGGTCATTCACACAGGAAGCTCAGAAGACACCAAGGGGATCTGTCCCTCTGGTCCACCCCCTTCTCTCTGTCTCTGTCCATCACTCACCTCCTCGCCCCCTCACCACTCACCTGCTAGCCTGTGCATCTGTCCAGCTCTTTCAACTCTATGTGGCCAGGCCCTAAGCAGGATCTCTGAGGAACCAGGAACCCCAACTGGGGTAAAGCCAAAGTCCATCCTCCATGGGGTACAGTCCAGCAGGCCAAAGCCAGGATGTGGACACCAGGGCTCTCAAAACCACCCCATCCATCGTCCCAGGTTGCTGCAGAGTTGCAACCTCCATCACTCCAAGAAGCCTGCCTCAGGCCTCAGATATGGTGACAGCCTGACATTAGTGTCTCCTTAGACCTCAGGATCCAGACACAGTAACAGCCTGACATTAGTGTCAGACAGGGCTGCCCCAGTGCACTCGTAGTCTAGGATTCATTTCAGAACAGAAGCACCAAAGCCCTTAGGCACAGTGCTCACAGTTCCCCCAACCAGCTGCAGGCCCAAGCTCAGGCCTCAGGCCCAGTCAGCTCCAAAGATTGTGCCTCCAGGGCATCATGCCTACCTGAAAGGAACCCAAGCCCAACTCGAACACAAGTCTTTCCCTCTTGCTGACATTCTCTGGAGAGAAGGCGAAGACCGTGTAGTGTATTCCAAACAGAGGGATGAGCAACAGGGTAGACCGGGCCAGCCGCCTGTTAGGAGAAAGCAAGGCATCTGCTCTGGGTGCTGCCAGAGTTGAGGGCCAGAGGTGTGGAGGGCAGAGAGCCCAGCATCAACCCCTGGCTTTCCCTAGTTCCCGTTCCCAGATCTGCTCTCCCAGTATAGTGCAAGAAGCTTCAAAGAGCAGTTCACTGACCAGAGAAGTCACTGACCAAAGCAAGGCTTCAGGGCCAGTGTCCTGCAGAGCCACTTAGAAACAGAGGCAGGATCTATAAGGCTCTCTTGGACAGTGTGCACAATACACTGGGAAATGAAGGCAGGGAAAGCATAGGATGAGGCTGGAGTCTCCAAGCCAAACTTCTCACCCTGGAAGGAAGCCCTGTATATGACTGCCCTTGAGAGCCAGAATCAGAGGTTTTCTGAGTCCAATGCTAGCTGGGGACACTGGCTGCCAATGGTAGGCTGTGCTGATGACAGAGAGGGGATATGGGTGGGCCTCAGAGACAGACTTGGGAAGGGCTCTGGACAGAACTGTCTCTGGACACAGCCTAGCTCTACCTGGACAGGTGAAGCTGCTACCCAGGCACCTGGCCAGAAGAAGAGAAGGCATTTGCTCTGAAGTGGGGCAGGCCTCATTCCCCAGGCTAGCAAGAGTGGGGTACAGCCCTATTCTAAGGGCTCAGCACATAGAAGCCACAGTGAGAGCATTGGAGAACACACATTCTGGGCCTGCTCTGCAGGGAGCAAGTGCTCCCTGGGCTTTCCAGAGAAGGATGTTATTACCCACCCTAGCACTCTGGCTCCCCGTGCGCCTTCCAGAGTGGTCCAGCCCTGCACTGCAGACATTGCCTCTCAGCTCTACCCTGCCCTGCACTGCTGACATCACCCCTCTGCTGTGCCCTTCCCTGAACTGCAGACATCGCCCCTTGGCTATGCCCGGTCCTGCAGACATTGCCCTTTGGTTGTTCCCTGCACTGCACTTCTGATATCACTCCTCTGCTGTGCCCAGCCTGTCTCCTCTGAACTGCCAGTCTCACCCACTGCTGGCATAGCTTAGCCCTTGGCAATGGACGGTGGGTCATTGGTGTCCATTTGATTGGGGGCAACATTGTGTGTCTCTCCCACCAAGCCTTCCTGTGGGAGACTATTCTATAAATGTGGGGTTCTAGATTTCTAGAAATGTCAAAGCCTTGGAGTCTGTGACACACCCCGGTGTGCTCCAGGTGGCATGGCACTCGGTGTTCTGGCTTCTAAGGAGGTGGAAAGAGACAGAAAGGGGAAGGTGGCCTTCAGAAGGAGGCTCAGCCCAGAAGGAGGGCCTGCATGCTGGCCACCCCTGCCTTATTCTGCTCAAAGCAACAGGTTCTATAGGTCCCAACAGGATCTGAGCAGTCCCTGCTGGGAGCCCACGTGCACCTCCTTGGAGCAGCGTCTGCTCCTGGCCTTTCTCTCCTCTGCCCTCCCTGACGAGGCCCTAAAGGCAGGGAGATGCCTGCTTATCTGTGGCCAGCACAGCCAAGCACAGGGCAGACACCAGGAATGTCTGCTCCATGGAGGAGTCAGTGAGCCACATGGACATGAGAATATAGAGTCCTTAAAACTGAACATCTTCTGGGCACCTGGACCGCTGGGCACCAGGGCCAGGCACAGAAGGCAGAAGAGGATCTGTGAACAGAATGAGAGTTGGAAGAGCAGAGGGGAAGGGCTGGAAGTGATGGTGCCTAGGTGCTAGGGCTCTGCAGGTCTGGCCTAAAGGCAACTTTAAAGCAGAGGCTTACAGAGGAGGAGATCAGGAAGGGGTACAGCTCTGAGACCGTCCAAGCCCTCCCTCCCATCTTCTTCTCCTTCAGATCTGGGTCCTTATTCCTGCAATCTGAAGAGGGTCCTTGGCAATGAAGATGCCAGACCTCTCCAGCATCCTCAGGGGCATTAAGCCAGGTTCAGAGGGAGAAGCTGGGGCCTTCCAGGCACAGCTCGTCCTCCTCCTAGGAGGCAGGTGATGAGTGTACCCAGATACCCCACGGTATGGCCCAGAGGCTGCTCCTGAGCCCCCACCAGACCTGCAGTGACCCCACACAGGCAGGGATGCCAGCTGGTGACCCCAGCACCTGGGAACACAGACTGTGAGCTTTACACTTGGTCTCATGGGTCCAAAGAAAGTGACACAAGGACCTTCTCCCCTAAGGAGCCAGCACGAGGAAGACAGCCTTAAAATGCCACAAAGAGCTTCCAGTGGTGGGGGCTGAGCAATTAAAGCAGGCCTCACCAGGATGTGAATCAGGCAGAAGCCAATACTCTAGTCAGAGATGATCTGGAGCACAGGGCTTAGGACCCCTGGCCTCAAATCCTGGCAGTTGGGTGGCCTTGAGTGAGTCACTTCACCTCCCTTGTAAAATAGAGACAAAGGCCCCACCTCATAGGACCCTGGTAAAGTCCCACACAAAGTGTTCTGTGTGCTGCCCCCTGCAGGAAGGAAGGAAGGAGGCCCCTGACTTCTGCAGGGGGTACGAAGGGCTGCTTCTACAGATTCAAGCTCTGAGAGATAGTTTGTAGCTACAAAAACTGAAGTCCAGGGAAGCAAGGAATCTGAGAAGGCCATGTAAGAGGCGGCAGACACCCTGCCTCTTCTCCCTGTTGGTCCAGGCAGGCCCCAGATGCTCCTGCAATGCCAAGGCCTGTCCCCATCCCCTGCCCACCCCACCCCCCATACACAAGACTGCAGAGGACTCACAAAACACACAACATCCACATGCAACAGTGGGACAGGGCGGGTTCAGAGGCAGAGTGGCCTCCATGCTCCTCCAGCCTGGCAGGACGCAAGCTTGAGGCAGCAGCAGCATGCGTCCCCCTCCCGGCCACAACTCCCGGCCACAGCCATGGCCACGCACACTTACAGAGTAATGGTGGACAGTTCTGACATCTTGCAAGAGTGCTGCTGAGCCCGCTGTGGCTTGCAGTAGCATTTCTGCACGCAGCTGCTGGGTGTGACAAGATTAGCACTTCTGTCAGCTGGGCCATTGGGCAGAAACAAAACCAAGGAGGGATTTGGGGAGACCCAGGGTGGGCAGAGAAGCTGAAGGGATGGAGAGAGGGCCAGGACAGTCATGGTTATCTTGGAAATGGAGTCTCTAAGAATTTCTGTCCAGGCTTACTTTGAACTGTGATCCTCCGGAGCTTAGCCTCTTTGAGTAGCTAGGATAATAGGCATGAGTTTAGGCATCAAGCCAAAAGGTCGTTTTTGTATGCACACAGAGATAGAGGCAATTAAGGATGCTTTGCTCACTGATTAAAAGAATGTGGTTGGGTTTACAGGAATGGCTGGTTAGTCCATCATCTCCATTCCCATATTTTAAGAGGTGGCCAATGACTCTTCAGCCCCAGCTGGATGGATGGTGGATACAAGGGTACATGTCTCTGCTTGCAGCCTGGACGGCATGCCAATACCCAACCTGAACTCTATATCCTGAGATTCCTCCTCTTTCTTTAGCTCCAAAGTGTGCCTGCCCTTCCTGGACCTGAGACATTTCTACAGTAAACGCAGGTGCCTCTGACTTTGTAAAAGACTTCTTAGAAGTGTTCGTAAGACCTGTAAGTGACAAGTTTGCCTGGAAGGGTGAGCAGGGGAGCAAGAGTCAAGGGAGAGTTCTCAGGGAAAGTGAATCCAGGGAAAAAAGAAAAGCAGCCCCCACAACACCACCACCACTCCCCAGGCCTCCCTGTGACCCAAAGGGAGACAAGCTGCAAAGCAATCAACCAGCCGGTGGCAGAGCAGCAGAGCCAGGAACCCAGGAGCGTGAGAAAGACCAAGATGCGAGAGTCTCAGGACAATTAGAGAAAGGGAAAGGAGGCTCCATCCACAGGAAGAGAGGGGCCTGGGGCTGCGGAGGTCAGCTCTGAGCTGGTTCTGAGGGAAGACAAGAACCTCAGACAAGGGGGTCGGGTGCAGCTGCCTAAAAAGCAGTCTAAATCAGAGGCAGGAGCCCCCTGCTCCCCTTGAAGCCTCTCTCTGCAAATCACAGAGCCTTGGCTTCCAGGCCCAGCTCTGGGACAACTGTGCTGTGTGCCTGGGGAAGGTCGAAGCCATGCTGAGCCTAGCCACTCCCATCTATCCCCAGGGATCCAGCACAAGGTTTCTATAGTGACCAAATGCCATGAATACTTCTGTGGCCAGGCACACTCTCTAGGAAGCACCCAGCAAGACTGAGGCTTATGGAGGCCCTTGGCACGCACACACCACCACCTTCAACTCTGATCCTGAGATCTGCAAACGGCTGAACCCCTGGTGGTCCACAGAATACAAATCCCACTGGGAGCTCCAGGGGCTAGGATGTTGTACACCCCAGAGCCCCGCCCCATCCCCAGGAAGTACTCCCTGGAGCTTTAGCACTCTACCTGCAGCATGAGGCTCCATAGATCCTGTGAGCTTCCCTGCCCACCCCCAAGTCTGCCTCAGGGAGCTCTGGACCAGTAGCTCTGTGTTCTCTTACCATGGGGAGCCAGGCCACTGACTTGCTATGTGATCTTAGGTGATGTCATTGCCCCGAGCTGGGCTTCAGTTTCTCCATCTTCAAAATGAGGGTGATGACACCTACCACCTCCCCTGACAGGACCTGCAGGGATGGCTTGTGGCAGGTGCAATGGAAGATAGAAGATGAACAGTTGGACTGTGGGCAGAGGCCCTGGCTCCATTCCCCTGAAGCTTAATTTTCCAGGCTTAAGAGGTGGCTGCCAGTGCTTATCTCCCAGAGAAAGTCTGCAAGGTGGGGCTGCACAGGTCCATCACCTAAAAACCTCCATCCTCCCATTTCATAATTGGAGGGCTTCATGGCAGTGCATAGGGAAACCTTGGTCCTCAAGCAGTGGCTGCCCCGCCCTGCCCTGCCTGTACCAGAAGTCAGCCCTGCTGCCCCAGGCTGAAATTTCCCTGCTAACTTCTGCCCACATTCAAGTCTCCCTGAGCCCTGATACAGCCCCTGAACCCACGGCTGGCCAGTCATTCTACCAAGAGTGTCAGGCAGGTGCGATGAGGGCAAGCTGGGCACCGCTGGCCCCTGCAGGGCCCAACACCCCAGTGGGTGCTTCTGAGTCATGGTGGTCTATGGAAAGAAGACAAGCCCTTATTATCTGAGCAGCTGGAACCAACCTACAGGAAAGGGGGTGAATGCTGGTCTGAGGGCACAGGCAGGGGGTCCTCTCGGGCTTTCTTGGGGACTCCCAGGCTTAAGTTTGTTCTGGAAACAGAGGAAAAAACCAGAGAACTGTTGTGGGACAACCTGGGAGCCCATGCACGGCCCTGGGGTCTCCCTTTCCCACCACATCTGCCATCTCCAGCCTCCCACCCCCAGGCTCTGCCCTCCTCCCCATGCAGATGCAGCCCCTCCCTCCTCAGGCCAACTCCCCTGCACTGGCACTTCAACACTTCCACATAGGGCTGAAGGCCACTAGGGTCTCTTCTTCCAGGAGGCCTAAGTCATGTGCTAGGTCAGTCCCAGCTTTCAGCATGGAGAACTTGAGGCCAGAGAGGGAGTTGTGAGCAAGTCTGGGCACATGGCTACCCACACCACAGCTATAGTTCCCTCCCTCCTGCAGGCTGGGGGGCGGGGTCTATCTCACAACACCTCACTCAGCAATCCAGACTCACTGGGTGTTGGTGGGTATGGATAGGCACCAATCAGTGGAGAGTGCTTCCAGGTGTTCCTGGTTCCTACCTAATGTTCCCTGTCCCTATCAGGTATTCTCAGTGTCAATCAAGTATTCTTGGTTCCCATCAACTGTTCTGGATCCTTATCAAGTGTTCTTGGTCCCTATCAAGTGTTCTGGGTCCCTATCAAGTGTTCTCACTTGTATCAAATGTTCTCAGTCCCTATCCAGTGTTCTTGGTTCCTATCAAATGTTCTCAGTTTCTGTCAAGTATTCTGGGCCTCTATCAAGTGTTGTCGGCTTCTATGAAGTGTTGTAGGTCCCTATCAAGGGTTCTTGGTTGCTAGCATTACTGGATTATTTGCCAACAGGGTCTCCCAATCCCTGGAAACACCCAGGCATGTGGCTAAATTCAACAAATCAAGCTGGTCTCTTATCTAACCTCAGCCTCCACCTTGCTTACATACTTATACATCTGAATTTTTCATCTCTGGAACTTAAGACCAGCAGACATTTGGCTTTCTGTATATAACAGACTATACTACCCAGAATAGGATGTCCAAGCTGACTAAATGTAACCAGCTTTGTTTTGACCAAGGCTGAGTCCCTATATGTGTGTCCTTGGAAATGCTGGGAGGGGGGTAGAAAGCGAGTTAGAAGACCCCAGCCAGGGAAGAAGTCCTGGGGTCTTCAGAAGACAAAACAAACCCGCCCTAGAAGGAGAGGAGACTGAAGCCAGAAGAGTTCCAGAGAGTTCCAGGGTTCCAGTCTGTCTGAGCTGCCCCCAGGACCAAATACCAGAGGAGACTGTCAGTGAAGAACCAGACCAAAATCAACAGGAGAAACTGAATCTGGACACAAAGATATAGGTTCATAGTTCACTGGGCAGTGAACTGAGGGAGAGCTGGGCCCTCTTTTGTGATTCTCTGAGATGTGGAAAGAGACTCCATCTCTGTAGGGCAGGGCAGGTAGTGGCAGAGGGCTGTCCCAACCAACACATCCTGATTTTCATTAATGTAACAATTTCCTACCATGGAATAGACACATAGAAAAGAAGGATGGTAAAAACTTACAAAAGCATAGGAAAATGGACAGTATATTGAGAAAAAGAAATCCATCATTTCCAATGTATGACTGTAAAGGCAGAGAAAATGTGGTAAACTGCCCAGATGCTAGGCTAACTGTCCCCATCACTACTCACCTCCAGCCCCCTTGGGATTGGAGAGGTATCCAGGCTGGCCAGGCTGGCCAGGCAGGCCAAGAGCAAGCTCCACTTCCCCCAGGGTTCCCTAAGGAGCCCAAGGAAGGACCAGGGTCTTCATCACTAAACGATCCAACCCTCCTCCCACCTATCCCCAGAGAGTGGCTAGGGGACTAGGGAAGGCTCTTCCAGGGCCTCACTGCCACCCAACTCATTCTTCCTGGACAGACATCAAGATGTTAGGGTGTCTGATGAAGACAGAACCAGGCACTAAGTATTCTGTGAGAATCCCACAGCTCCTGTCAAGCTGCAAGAGCCACCTGTGGTACATCTCCAGCCAGCCACATGGAGCCACCAGCCTTCCCCCTCAGCATCCTGGCTGGGGATGCTCTAGTTCTGGAGAACAGTAAAGTGAAGAGCAAGCTCCAGTTCTAAAGGCCAGCAAGATGAGGGGAGGCTCCAATTTTGGAGGACAGCAACATGAGGGGACGTACTCTGTCTGATTTCAAGATGGGAAGGGAGGGGCACATCCTGTGGGAACAAGCTTCTAGAGTCAACTCCAAACATACTATTTATGAATCTAATGGCTGTTGAAGTGGAGAACGCCTCATGGTAAGAGATGTCCTTAAACCCAATATCCACAAATGAAGCAGACATCCCTCAGTCTGAGGAGGAGGGAGCTAAGGAAGTGGGAGGTGAAGCTGGCCTAAAGGAAAAGTGAAGGAGAGAATGAATCCTCTTCCAGCCTACCCCAGTGAGGACACCACCCAACTGACAGGTCAATGGCCCTCATGGGCATCTACACAATGGGCGGGGTGGGGCCCTGTCAGGCATCTATGTACCCAATGGTGCTCACAAGCTTCCCACAGAACCAGTATCCCCAAAGGAAACACATCTCCAAACAATCAAGTCCCTAGTTACCCTAGGGACTGTGATGTTTTCCACTTTAATTTTTCAAGAGTCCCACAAGCTCTGTCATCTCTTTCTCTTTGCCATTCCCCTTCCATGCAATGGATGAGAAGCTTCTGGATTGGCTGGAATTTGGGAGGGTCTGGGAAGGACAACTCTATTTCAGAGGCACTTTAATCAGGAAGCTAGCGCATCCAGTCAGCAAGGCCCACACCTCATCCTGCCTGGGAGCCTCATGTGGGACCCTCAAGGCAGTCAGAAATGGCTTCACACGGTGGTACTTACAAGTAGATGCTGGATTCGTTGCCACCCATGTCTGGAGACTGAAGTTTCTGCACAAGGATGACGATGATGCCAATGAAAAGCACAAAATTAACCTGTAGAGCAAAGAGCAGTAGGTGGAAATGACTGTGGGCAAGGCTCCCCCTGGCAATTTATTCCCCAGGACACTCAAGATCCTACCCAGATTTATAATTCAAGATGGCAGCATCTTGATGGCAGCCTCATATACCCCATCTCAGGCTCCTCCAGAGCCATGGAAGTAAAGGACCAAAGGTCCCCAGGAATACAAAGACTGTCATGCATAATCCAGACAAGTGAGCAGTTTCTGGAAAGAGAAAGAAAGTAGGACTGGGGTGATAGAAAAGCCAAAACTTGAAAGAGAAGAAGAGGCAACCTCAGAGGTAACAGCCTCTTCTGGAAAACCTTCTCCAAGTTCATCTGAGCATAGTCATGTACACCTATAATCCTAGCACTTCGAGCTTGAGGTGCACATGTATTTGAGGAGAAGCATGTGTTTGAGGCAAGCCTGAGCTACACAACCATACTTTGTCTAATAAAAACAGAAAGAAACTCCAAGATCAGAGTCACGACGTGGGGGGAGGCAGTGGGGACAGGCAGAGGCTTTGCTAATTGCACGCTGCAGCACTTGCCTGCTCCAGAGATCTGACACAAAGGCTTTCTCAACAAAGTGGGAAGCTGTGTGTAGAGAAGGAGAGGCAGAGGCTGGGAGCAAATAAATAGAAACCAAACAAGGAACAACACAAGACTGCACGGGGATGGCTTTGGGGTGCAGCCAAAGCCATCCTTAGAGAAAAAGACTGAGAACCTAAAGCCAATCTAACTAAAAAAATAATAGCTGCTGAAAAATAACAAACCCAGGAAAAGCTCACCACAAATTCAACATATACAAGAAGGAAATGAGCACAGGTAAAAAGTCCTAAGAAAGAAATTGGACAAAATAAGAGCCTTGATCCATGAAAATATTTAATGTTGGTTTCATTCCTTTGTTTCTTTAGACCTTCAGACAGGTGACACATACTTCCTCCTCTGTCCTTCTTGTTCCCTGCTACATGTCTGCAATTAGCTCAGCAAGTGCTTCTCAATCCAAAAGGAGAAAATACGATTCAACAAATTTAGGGGTGAGAAAGAGGACAAGAGATATGTTTTACATCGTAAGAGAATGTGGAGCTGACCAAAAATCTCAGTTGAAGCAACAGCCTTGGAAATTTTAAAAGTACTCAAAGATATATGCATTAAAAGGCATCAGGCCAGAATAATTTTGTGAACTTCAAAAGAAGAGATGCTGCTTAATTGTTTCAGAGCAAATCAAAAGACAATCTCTGTTTACCTAAAAGGGTAACAAAATCCAGCTAACAAACAAAAAACCCAGACAAGAAAAGCCAGGCATAGCACTGCATGCCTATAATAAGCCCAGCATGAGAAGGAACCAGGTTACACACTGTCTCAAAAAAAATAAATTAAAAGCAAGGATAACACCACACACACACACACACACACACACACACACACACACACACACACACACACACACACACACACACACACACACACACACACACAGCATTTAGGAAGATCAATGCAAAAACTTTAAGCAACCTATTAGTAAGTAATTTAGCAAGGTACTAAAAGAGCAAACAGATCATAGTGACAAAGATTTCATCCAAGGAATGCACACAAAAAAAACTACAAATATTTGTCATAATATGAGTTGAAACTGTAAGTTTCCATTGTCCCCTAGAAGGCAGCAAATAGTTTGGTGCAGAAACATCAGCAAAGACAGAACTATTAGAAGTTAGCGTCCTGTACTTGGGCCACAGAGGGCAATTTTCCATCTTCAAAAATGTTAAATACATGCATCTTTGTCCCTGAAATCCCACTTGCAAAAGTTTCTTCTAAAGATATAGACACACATGCTCAAGGCTAGGTACAAATGCATTCCATGTGGCACTGTTCACAGTGAAATAACTGAAATATTGTAAATGTTGATCACTAAAGAGTGTGACCATGTCAGTGAGTGTATCCAGGACACAACTGATAAAAGTCAGTATTTCTGCTTGACTTTAAAAAACAAAACAAAAAAAACATAGGCACCAGTGTCTCATGCCTGTAATCTTGACTATTCAGAAGACTGAGATCTGAGGACCCAGGATTGAAGCAGCCCAGGCAGGAAAATTCTTGGAGACTTATCTCTAACTAACCAGCAAAAGGCCAGAAGTAGAGCTGTGGCTCAAGAAGTAGAGTGCTAGCCTTTAACACAAAAGCTCAGGGACAGCACCCACACTCTGAGTTCAAGCCCATGATTGGGCTAAAAAATACTAAAACCAGCCAGGAAGGGAGACTTTCCCAATACAGTGCAGAGTAACTGCCAAACACCAAAGTCAAAACAGGAACAAAAGGGACAAATGTTGGAAAGGAAGGGCAAAAACTGTTTTTATTTAAGGGTTATATAATTTTCTGCAGAGAAATCCCATGTGAAGCACATTAAAAGGGGTAAGAACTAGTAAGAAATTTCAGGAACATACTGAAGCAAAGAACAAAAAACAAAAGCCAATAATTTACCTAAACATTTGCAGTAACCCATCCGAAAATACAATGAAAGAATGTCCTTAGACCCGATACAAGCCCAAACTGGGGGACTTCCTAGATGTAAACCTAACAAGAACAAGGAAGTAAGCGTAAAAATGTCCCAAAGGCATTCAGTGAGGAAGTGTGTACCTCTATTAATTCCAGCATCACAGGAAGTGGGGATGGGAAGACTACAGCTCAAAGCCAGCCTGCGCTAAAGTTAGCCAGGCTCTAGTTCAGAATGCAAGCTGAGTGTGATGGCTTATGCCTATAACCCCAGCTAGGCAGTGGGTAAAGGATCATGATCCAAGGCTGGTTCTGAATGTAAAGTCTGAGATTCGATCTGAAAAATCATACAGGTAGTACCTATGCCCCGATAGGGGAGGAGCTGAGCCATCTGTCTATCCATGTTGCAGGATACGATGCCACATGAGGAGAAGAAAGCCAGTCTGTGCTGACCATTCCAGCTCCCTCCTTCCATGCCCTTCTGCCCAGGTCCATTTCTAACCCTCTTCTTTGACCCACGGACACTCACCATGATAGAGCCAACCACAGGGCCTTTGATCACCCACCACAGAGCTGTGCTATCATTCATATCCCAGCAGCTGAAAGATGGGCAGAGAGAAGAGAGTCATGTTCAGGGGTCAGCCCAGGCATCTTCAGAACACTGCCCAGCTAGCTGGGGTCTGTTCCGTCTTCCATCCAGCTCCTGAGGAGGGGCTGGCTTTCCTAGGTGAGCTCTGTGTGCTGCAGAGGCCAGGCCCTGGCTGTACAGCCTTTCATCTGGTCACCCTTTCCCTCCACTCCTCTGTGAAGTCGTGGGGTCCTTGGTCTCCCCTGTGGACCAGAAGCCCTTGAGATATGGCCCCACCCTCAACCTTACTCCCCATTGCCCAAGAGAAAAACAGATTCTCTGAACAGCCAGGTCAGAGAAATCTCAGAAATCTTGTTCATCTTGCTGGCTTCCCTGCTGAGATGCCTAAGACCCACATGGGGCCAGGATTCAGCTGGTACCAGGACGGAGCTTCCATGGGGACCTGAGTCTAGAGAGGTGGCCAGGCAGTTCCTGTGAGGCAGTTCCAGGCAGTCCTCCTGGGGGAAGGCCCCAGGGTTACACTCACCCCGTGTCATCGAAGTAGAACCTCAGAGTGGCCCACACCGTCACGCACACAGTAGGAGTTCCTGAGAAAACAAGCAAAGGGCCTGGGTCCCCTAGCACTGAGAGTTCCTGGGCCCTCACTATCCCTCACACTCAGGCTTTCTGCAAGGTGTGCACCTCCCATTCTCAGCTGGGGACAGGACTTGTGCTGCCTCGTTGCTTGGCAGAGTTTCTAGGGTAGAGCTTCTGCCCATGGTGACCCCCATGGGCATTGAAACAAAGGGGTGCAGCTAAGACAGGTGGCCATCAAATCAGGCAGAGCTCCGTTCTCAGCTGCACCCCCTGGAGCCAGGACCAACACCTCAGATGGGCCTCAAGCCAGAACCCATGCTGGGCAGTGGTAACTTACCCCAGCCAATGATTATGTACCAGTAGAAGTATCTCCTCTCTGGGAAAAAGGTTTCCACCAGCAGCGTGAAGAGGTACAGTCCCTCGATGAACAGCCAGAAGTAGTTGGACACCACGCAGTAGTGAAAGAAAACCATGACAGCCTTACAGGCCACCTGCAGGGCAACAGATCAGGAGGGGTAAGTTCTTGCCTGTCTCCAGGCAAACCCAGGCAATCAGGCCCTGCAGGACAGAGGCAAGGCCTGGGGCCCCTCACTTCCCACCTGCTCATGCACCAACACCATGAACACCTGAGGATTCAATGCTCCTGGATGGCAGACCTGATTCTGCAGCATCCTATGAATTGAAGTTTCTCAGAGAGGCAAAACAGACAAGCATGAAAGAGCAGACACAGGGCACCAGGCCCCTCTGCCCCACCAGGGTAGCCTGAGATCCCTAAAGAAGGCTCCTTGTGAAATGAAGAGCTGGATCCCTCACAGGTAGAGGGGAAAATACCCTGGTCCCCAGAAATCTCTTCTCAGAGGGACTTTAAGCATACCCTCCCAGCCAGACCCTGGACTCCACACTGCTCTGTGGAAAAGACCACAGCCAGTGACCAGTGAATGACAGCGAGGTCTGTGGAAAGACCACAGATAATGATCAGGTGAATGATAGGGGCCACACAGCTGGCTAACAACTAAGACCCCTCTGACCCTTAGTTTCCTCCTTGGTGAAGTGAACCTTAAATCCCTGCCTGACCTTCCTGGAATGTGCTCCCAGTACAAGACCTAGTATGAGAGAAGGAATGTGTCTGGGGTGACATCACATGTGGTCTACTAATGACTGCCTGGTGACTTTGCTCAGGCTTCCTCGATCATTGGAACAGCAAATATAGGGAGACTGGGGCTGCTGGGGGAGGGAGGTAAGGGAGTAAATGGTCTGTCTGCAGGAGTCCCTGGGAATAGAGGTCCTGTCTATAGGGGTCCCGGGGGGTGTAGGATCCGGGAGTGTAGGCAGCATCCCTGAGGTCCCAGGCTCACTCACGGTGGAGATGAAGCAGTGATTGCTGTCCTGCTCAGCATACAGGATCCAGTCCTTGATGAAGACAGAGATGGCCCTCAGCATGAAGGACACAAACAGGTTCATGTGGATGAAGTTCCGGGTGCAATGCAGCTTCCTAGGTGATGGCCAGGGAGGAAGAAGACTTGACCCCAAGCCTCTGCGGTGCCACTGCCCCCCCTCAGCCTCAAGTCCATAGCTTCCACACCGGAAGTTCCACTCGGAACTGCTTGGAGTCCACTCATGGCTCATCTCAATAAGGTGCCCACCTCGCTCAACAAACCCCTTTCTTGTCTTTCCACCCTCATTGGCTTCCAGCTCCCTTCTGCAGCTTCTGTCTATGTAGAACAGGAAGATCAAAGCAAGCAAGGCAGGTGTCCTGCCCAGCCTCCACCTGGCTGTGTGACCCTGGATAGGTCAGTTGCTCTCACAGAAGTCAGATTTCCACCTGCCATGCTAGAGGTCAGGGGACCTTCCAAGGGCTGACACAGGGGCTGGGTTCTAAGCACACTTGCTGGAACATTTTGGGGATCTCACCGGAAACGGCACAGGATGACCATGGCAGTGGTAAGGGTTACAAGGGAGGTGCTGTAGCCGACCGTGTAGAGGGCCTTCACCGAAAGGTAGTAATAGTCCTGGGGAACACAGGATAAGGTTCTGTGCAGGGCCTGCTGTAGGCCACCAGCCACCACATGGGGACAGACATGGGCCCCCAGGACCTGTACCCAGCCTCCAAGCCAGGCTTGCCCATCTCCAGGCCCAGGTCCCCCTCCCTCAGCCCTGCCTCCCAAAGCCCCTTCTACTGGCAGCTGGTAGAGCTGCTTAGTCTCCTCTGCATAGGGCCTGTGGTCTGGCATTCTGTGCATGCTCAGTACATACTGAGCATGTTGAAGGAAAGTGTGCTGATTAGTGAGAATAGAGAGTAGCTGAGCCTGGGGAAGGGTTCAGGAAGCCCCATACCCCAGAATTAATCCCTCAATTTCTGGGAAAGCCAATGACAGCAGCCAAGGTGTGGGGAACCCATAGTTGGTGGCACCTCAGGGCTTCTCAGCCCCAGTGGGGTAGATAAACATCCTACTCTTTCTGGCTTGGTATACAGCAGGAACTCCAGACCACTGTCTATATACAGCAGGAACTTATGGAGGACAGGTGTTGACATTTACCTGGTCCCCAGTCTCAGGCTCATAGTCATCAAACCCACAAGCATCAAAGTAATGTGGGAAGGGCTCAGACCAGCCATCCTCTGTGCAGTTCCGGCTCACCACTCCTGCATCTGTGTCGACAGGAAAACTCCAGTAAGGCACTAGGTTTGAAAGACTAAAGAGAACCCTGAAACTCATTTGCAAAACACCTTCATAAGTAGCCTAGGGCCCTGCTGGGAGGCTCAAGGGTCAGTGATTCTGAACCTGGAGCTCAACCTTCACTAAGGTTCTAGAGGTAGAGGAGCAAAGGGCAGGCGTAGCCCTTAACCAGGGCAAAGTTCTGAGCCTGTGCTTCTAACATGCCTGCATCCCTTCTAGAAAATTCCCAAATGTTCACCAAGAAAGAGAGAGAGGCCTCCCAAGCCCTAGCTCAGCACATCATGCAGTGTGCAGACCAACCTCTGTGCTAACCATGACTGCAGACTGCTGACCCTCACCCCCCAGGCCAGAGACTTTCACCAGGGCTCTGGGATCCAGGGTGAGCCCACAAACCATGAAGGTTACAGCAAGGCTGGGTCCCTGGCAGCTCTTGAGCCCAGCCACTGCAGACAAGATTTCCCATCAGAAAACCTGTGAGTCATGTGGCTGGCCTGTTGGATTGACAGGCGCAGACTCCCACTCACCCACCCAGTGCAACATTGTTGACATGCATGTTCAGGTTTTCTTAAGTTTTGCCTTTCAGAGTTTGGTGGTCTTTTTCCTGTCACTAATATGTCTTAATTTTCTTTTGCGTTCCAGCCCATTTTGTGGAAACGAGAGGAGGGTAACTATGGGCCACTAAAAGGCAGGCACTGCTGCCCCATAGTTCAGGCTGGTTCTTGCTGTTCGAGGGGCAGTTTTAGCCTCTGAAGATTGCTATGCCATTCTCCTTCAATGGGCCTTTAAAAGGGAACGTCTCTCATATCCAAAGGAGAGGGTAGACAGGCCCTGATAGACATCTAGCTTCCAGGCACTTCCCACCTCTCCACTCAGGGGAGGCTCATCTTCTCACAAGAAATTGAGTTGAACAGGAGACGCATGCCTAAAGCGGGAGGAGGAGCTTGCACACATGCTACTGAACAACCTGTCCCCTCAGTGACAGAGGATGCTTCTGGGGAGCTCATGGAAGAGACAAAACACAAGGCAGGCAGGGGGTTGGGGGACATAGGATAGGAGGGGAGGGGAAGACTCTCTGCCTTTCCAATCTGCCTCCTCTCTTCGCTGAGACAGAAGATTGAAGGCCAGATGTCCTCATCCAAGAGAGTCGCAAACAGACTTCCTGGGGCAAGCAGGAAGAGGAGAGACCCTGCCAGGCAAGAGAGTTCTGCAGGAGAGGAGAGCCTGGTTCCCATTGCTTCTACCAGGGCACAGACTGGGGAGGCAGTGAGCAGGCCCAGGAATAAGGAAGGAGCTCGCTGCTGCCCTCCCACAGCTTCATGCCAGGTTGGCCCTCTTTCCAGGGAATCTGCCCCCGGGGGGCTGCCACTGGCAACCTCTGTCCCAGTCCTCCGGAAGTCCTAGGAGCCTGCACCTCGGCTGAGTTCCCCCCTCTCCCCTCTCCCCGCCCCTCCTACCCCTCATTTCCTCTCTGCCCTACCCACGAAGCCAGCTGGAAGAGAAAAGAAATGCTGCTTTGAAAACATTTTTTTTAAGTGTCCTACAGAGAAAAGCCATTTCCTTTCTTTTATTTTCTCCTTTCTTTTTTTCTTTTTATAACCCAGTGTGGGCTCAGGAAAGTATAAACGTTTTGTTCCCAGACCTGCTCTATAGAATGTTGCTCTGACAGAAATCATCAGGCTGTCAAAACCCTCAAGTGAAGCCCTGGCTTCAGGAGACAGTTTTGTCCTGGCAACTCTGAGGAGCATAGAATTTCAGGGTAGTGGTCCCCAAAGTGGGCATCCTCCCCAGAGCGGGCCCCCCCACCCACTCTGGGAGCCTGGCTAGCTGGGCACACTCAGACCCTACCCAGACTCACTGAATCAGAGCCCACGGTGAGGCCCAGCCTCTGTGTGCTAGCAAGCCTATGGGGCTCTGTGGCACAGGCAACAGGTGTGTTCTACCTCTGGGGGTTCAGATTCATCAGGGACCACAGAACTCAGGGACCCCTTACTAGGGGTCTGCAAGGGATTTCCTAAATACTCAGCTTTTCTGACGTCGTTCTACCTGTGCATTCAAGTATGTTTTTCATGGACATAACCTGTAGCTCTATCAGGGAGCACACAGCTGCAGAAGGCAGAGCCCAGCCTACAAGGGAAGTCTGGAAGCCTCCAGCCACCCAGACCATCTCCCACATCTGAGAGGACTAAGGGGTCAGAGCCAGCAAAACCCAACACCTGCAAAAACACTGACTGGACATGTATCATAATGCTTGGTTAATGGGCTTGCTGCCTTGCTCTTTGTTTACCTGCCAGGGCTAAGCCTTCTCTTGGTATGGAGAGGCTGGACTTGGGTCAAAGGAAGCCCCCCACAAATAGCCACTCCCCCTCTGACATTTGGGCCTCCCAGCACCATCTCACTAGGGCTGAGGGTGTGTGGTGCTCAGGATGGTCTGCAACTCCATCGCACGCTGGTGAGAGCTGCCATGGCCACTACCAGGAGGATGGAAGAGACCACAGGTGAGGAGGAAAGGGGGAATAGAAAACAACAAAGAACAACGTGGGTCCAAGGCCTGGGATTTCTTTGGCACTCAACACTCTACCTCAGCTCTAAGCCTGTTCCTCATCAAAGGGAACCCAGGATACCAAAGTCTATCCCCAATTCCCTCCTCTCTCTCTCTACTCTCCATTCCCATTTATTCCCTGTCCATGTCACTCTGGATACCCCCTTCCTATCCAAGACCAATCTCTATTCCCATTCACACCAAGTCCATGCTTCTCTGGCAACAAACCCACATTTCCTCTCAACCTAAAATCTTGTTTCCACCACCTCCATGCCCTGGCCTCTTCAGAGTTCAGCTGTGCACCATGCCACCAGGTCCCTCCGTTCTCTTGCTCACTGAATACACAGTCTAGCTTCTCAGCCATTGATGTCTATGCCCAGTGAAGACCTACATGTGTGCATGCACATGCACTCTGCAGACAAGCAGACACATGTTCTAACCCTGTACCAGTGACTTTCGATCTCTGAATAAGTCAAGGGCTGTGTCCCTCTTCCTAAGCCCCGCTGCCAGGAGTATTAAGTTGGTTTGAAGAAAGGGAGGAGGGACAGATAGGACCCCTGAGGAACCTGGCCAGCTACTCCACCCGCCCCTGGGGCCTCCTGAGGCTGAGCTCCTGCTGGATGGACAAATGGACAGTAATCTGTCCTCACCAAGGTTCCTCTTACCGAAGGCTTCCGTCTCCCAGACTGCAGCAGAGAAAAAGAGACAGAATGTAGAGGTGAGCAGAGGTTGGAGTTGGGGTCTGTTCTTAGTTACCACTTCTTCCCCCTCCCCATCCCAAAACTCTGAGGAGAGCCCTGCTGGGCCCATCAGGCAGAGCAGACCTCTACCTCCACTTCCAGAGCACAGAGCTGTGTTCCAGGAGGAGGGGGAAGAGGGGAGAAAAGGGAGAAGGAAGAGGAAGGAGAAGGGGGAAAGGGAGAGAATGGGGAGGAGGGAAAGGGAGAAGAGGGGTAAGGGGAAGAAAGTCCCCACTTCGCCAGCATCTCCAAAACCCCACAGAGCCAACACTGCTGCCTGACTTCCTGGGAACTGAGAAAGCAAATGGGAAGTCGCACTCCCTCCCTCCCTTCCAGGAGGAGGGCAACTCTCTCCAGTCAGCCTGTGAACAGAGGTGCTAAAGACTCTGCCTTAATGAGCCATTAGGAACAGGTGTAAATAACATTTCTGGCACTGGCGGAAGGAGGGGCAGAGGAAGGGCCTGTAAAGGAAATCTTACTTTACTGTGAATTCATTTTGTCTTTTGTGGTGGCTGTGGTTGAAAAGAAGCAATCTTGGCAGGGAATCTGACCAAGAGTAGATGCTCAACAAATCTTAAATAAATGGCTGAATGAAAGCAACTCACACAGAAGTGATTAAGTTAGTGTGTAAAAGACTGCTTTAGGAAAGAGCTGAATGACAGGCAGCTACTGGGCCACAGTACCTCCATTCATGGGGCCTCTCTCCAGCACTTCCCTACCAATCTCTTCCAAAATTGCTCAGTCCCCATGCCCTGGGGCTGAGAGAGCTAGGAAGTCACCCACCTTCTGGGCTGGCAGGAGGTCTGAGAAGTAGCAGTAGTGGGTAGCAAAGCAGGGTAAGGTCTTGAGATGGAAGAACAGAGACAGAAGCCTGTGACCCAACACCTGCCACTGTCTTTCCCCATGCTTCCTTCAGGTCCCTTTCCCTAGAGGCTGGAGTATGAGGTGTCGATGTGAATTTGCTCCCAGTGCTTCTTAGACTCTGACAGGATGACCCGCTCATGGGTCTGGAACCATCAGTGATCCCTGCCTTTGGGCAGAGCATCTTGCATCCACCATGCAGCTCAGCTCTGTGCCTACCCCACAGGCTCCTAAATCTTTCTCTGGACCTCCTCCCTTCATCATTTCAGTAGCATCTGGAGACCCCAAAGGCAGACATGCTCAAAGTCAGCTCCTCAAGGGCTACCCCCACCAGGATTCTCACAAGAAGATGTCATTGTTGTAAATCTGTTGCCAAGCCAGCATCCAGGGTCACAAACTACAGCTAGGAGTCCCTGGAGAACAAAACCACCAGTGCCTCCTATCTTGGGCCCTTACAGACACCTCACAGCCGTCAGTGATCAAGAAAATGCTTTGTTTGCCAACAAGTATGTTGGCCAGCCACACTCCTATGTATCCGAGGACATCTGATCATGTGTTCCTGTTATCTGTCCACAATCTTATTCATCTGAGGATGTCTGAGTATGTGTGCCTGTCATTTGTGTGTCCTCTAATGGCAGCTAACACTAACTATGCAACATGAGTCTAGTCCTAGGTTGAGAGTCCACATGTGGACATCATTCTATCCAGAGACCTCTGGGAGGAAGCCACCATGCCACATTCCCATCTGGTAGACTAGACCAGGGACTTGGGGTACAAGAGTGAACAGGAGATCTGGCCCCCATTCCATGCCTGAGGGTGTAGCTCAGAGGATCATAGCAATGCTCACATGAGCCTAAGTTACGTCCCATCTCTAGCACACATGCTCTGGAGCAGGGGCTCCACCTCCCATCTCCAGCACACTCCCTCTGGAGCAGGGGCTCCTGACCATCTGTCTCAGGAGGGTCCGATCCCCAGGATCGGATTGGTGAGTAGCTCATCCTAGGGCCTGGGCCAAATCTGAGTCCAGGTTGGCCCAGAGCAACCAGAGAGACACTCGGCTACCTACCTTGGTCTGGGTTGAAGATTCGAAAGAGATCAGGGCAGGTGACCAGGACAATCTCTCCTACGTGGGCAGGCTTCCAACACGTGATGTTGTCCCACATGCCAGGGCAGCCTACAGGGAGACAATCATGGTACACACATATACCATATGCCCATATACACACATATGCCATGCCCAGTCATTGGTATGTGACACACATGTCCACAGATGTAGGCATCCATACACACTGCATTTGTGTTCATGCATGTACTATGCATGCACATACTTACCATATACCCTACATGCATCACATGTGCTTCATGCCTGCATCCTATGCACCCCACACACATATGCTTATATATGTGCTTTACACATACCATGCATGTACACTCACACATGCACCCTTTGCACACGCACACATACACATCAGTTTGTGAGCACCACGCACAAGCCAGACGCTGCAAGGTCCTGGCAGTTAATAGCTTGAAGGAAAGCCAGATTTCCTATCTGAAGGAGGCTCAGAGATGGACCTGGAAGACTTCTCAGAGAAGAGGAGAAATACAGACCCCAGGAGCTCATCTGATTCTCTGCCTCCACAGGTCCCAGCCCCACAGTTCTGGGACCAGGAGGTAGCAGGCTGGTCTCATACTCCTGGAGACAGGGAAGTGCCAGGCTAGTACTAGATCTCTGAGGGTGAGAGGCCATATCTGGAACCTCATCTTCCTGCCCCTGCTCCTCTTTAGCCTCCCATCCTGCCCTCTCTCTGTGTCTGGCCTCAGCTCTTCCTCAATAGGTCCTCCCCACCTACAGGGAGACCCAGAACCAGCCTGAGGCTGTGCCCCACACCCCCACCTGCCTACCACAAGGCCTGGAGCCAGGAGCTGGCACAGAGCTGGCTCTTGGAAGAGGAGCTGACAGGAGGAGAAAGCCATTCAGGCAGCAGCCTGTATGCCAAGGCTGGAACTGTGGAAGGGCATGGAGTGGGAAGAGATGAGGAAGGCCAGCACAATGTCACAGGGGCAGACTGAGGGAGAGGAAGGGAAGTACACACTGAAGGGCGTTAGGGAGGTATAAGGCTTGGTGGCTAGCTGGACGTGGGCTGTGAAGAAGAGGAAGAGCTTGATCTTGATTGAGGACTGGATTTTTAGATCTGAAGGCACAGAGGTCTTGAGGACTGGATTTTCAGATCTGGGGGTGTGGGAAATCTTGAGGACTGGATTTTCAGATCTGGGGTACAGGAGTCTCTGACCCCTTCTGCTTACTGTTCCCTCTCTCTCTTACCACTGCTGTTTTCCCGTCTGATCATCTTCCTCACCTTGTACTGATTCTCAGCACAGTAACAGTGAATTCTTTGATGCAAACTCCTAAGAACAAATCAGCCCTGGCTGGATCATGTTCTGCCTACAACCGATGGCACATGCTGGTGACATCCTGGCCAACACTGGAGGAGCTCACCCTGCCCAGGGACACGAGAGCAGCACTCAGCTATGCCCAGTCCCTGTTACCCATCAGTCCACAATCAACTACCTGCAGAGATGTCCCTCTTCACACCAAAGACAACCTGGACACAGCAGTCTGTGACTGCGCAACACCCCCCTAACCCTTACCTCGCACTTCAGCCTGGCTAGAAGCTGCCCCACCAACCCACCACCAGCTCCAGCACCTTCTCCAAGAGCCCTATGGACCATACCCTCCAGAGCTTAAGAGTCAGGGGCCCTCTACCAGGACCTCAACCATGCCTCTGTAAGGTGTCCTCTCAGCCCTGCACCACGGATCATAAGCTCTACAGTCGGTATCTGCATGGACACACTTCACCACCAATAATTAAAAGCTTCCCATGCTCTGAGCATCCCATTTTCTCAACATGGTATCCTCAGCTCCTGCCCTTCACCCAGTCCCATCAAGCTCTCCTTCTCTGTTGTAGGGGTAGTGGTAAGAGAAGTCACCCAGGGGAAGAAGATGATCAAGTGAGAAGAGCAAGGAGGAGGAGACCCTGGGGACCCCATGCTTGTGAGGTAAGCAATGCCAATGAGGGGAGGGGGAAGGCACAGCAGAGGAGGTAGAGTGAGAAGTCAGATATCAAGACAGGGAGCCAATCTGCAGTGGGCTCTATGCCAGGGAAGCACAGGACCCCTGTGGCCCCATCCCAGGAATTGAGTTCATACATAGAAAGTTCTAGGGTTCGCCCAGCACAAGTTCCCTGGGTCGTCAGCACTAACTCCATCACTTTCATAAGCACCCCTGGGAGTCACTACCCTGGGAAGACCAATCCAGGCAGGAGGAGGAACTAGAGACTTGCAAGGGGAAATGACATCTTGGTGGCCAGCTGCTGACAGGCCTGGAGGACATATGGCCAACACCAGGCTAGAGAGGGCTCTCCTGAGGTTGCAGTCCCTCTGTCAAGGTCATGACTGTTAGGTGTTGCTGAGACCAGAAGATGCCCACAGCTTGGGTACAGAAAGCTCCATCTCTCAGGCCTGGGAACTCCCAGTAGCACTGGCCTGTGCGAGATGGCTCATAGTACTGGGAATGCTGCAGGAACTCTTGAGTACTGCGCATGGAGAGGGCAGGGACACTGGGAGCCAGACAAAGCCAGGTCGGGACACTGAGGATGATTCCTGCTCACCACTGTTTCACCAACTCACATGTGGCTGTGACACCATGTCCTTGAAATACACCCAAAAGCAAATCTTTGCCACCATGGCCCGTGCCTACTCTGGGAAGGCTGTGGAGCATGGCCTTGAGCCCACACCCCAGGAGCCCTGCCCAGCAGATGTTTCTGTAATACAGAACATTAAGCCCTGGCACAGCCATCTGCCATGGCCAGCAGATGTTGCTGAGATCAGGAATGACTTAAGATCCAGTGAGCAGAGCTAAGGGGCAAGGAGGAATCCAGGGCCAGGCAGGATACTTGAAGGAAAGATCTTGGGCTGGAAGCAGAGGTGTAGACAGGGCAGGGGTTGCATGCTCATAACTTTCCAAGTGCCTTTTATATGCCAGGGACCATCTAGGCACCAGGTATACAGGGTATATACAAAGGTCTGTAATTTTCAAGTGAGGGAAGTGAGGGAAAGGGTGGGGCCAGCCCTCAGCATCTGTACCAGCACCCTGTGACATGCTTTTTGTTTCCTCTACCACAATTCTCATTGAGGAGGGTCAGATGTCTATGTGTACTCCCAAGTTTGAGTGACCAGAGTATAGAGAAGATCCCCCTAGGATTTGCTAAGAATATCTATCAAGATCTCCAGCCCATGGCCTGGAAACCCTAATGATCCAGCTGCCACAACTCTGGCACCTCTTCCTGTCCCCTCTGTCTGTGTCTTATGTCCGTGCAGCCAGACAGCAGAAACACCCAGAACAAGATCCATGACCGAGGGCCTAAGTCCTAAGACATGCCCTTGACCCAGGAGGAGTTCACAGCCTCCTGGTTCTGGAGGACAAACAGTGGGCTCTCAACACAGCCTTGGGTTTCTCTAACTGGAGAAGAAACTCATTTTCCTGCCTTCCAAACAGAACGCACACAGCATCTACATCCCTAACAATTCTGCATGCCAGACAAAACATAGCTCTGTTTTGTTGTGGCTGGGAAATCTCAAGACATCTTTCTTCCTTCCCTCCTCTTCTCACCCTTTTCCTTCTCCTTTTCCTCCCCCTTGTTCACTGAAGGAACACTAAGAAAAATGTGTCAGACTGTACCATACTGCAGAATCACACAGGAGAGAAGGAAAGTACCCAGTCTGGACCTCACCAAGCCTAGGGTCTGGAGAAACATGGAAGGATGTGATGCTAAATGTTGAGAGGCTGCTGGATGCTGTGCTAGGTTCTTGCTGCTGCTGGAGATTTATACACAAAGTGAGTGTCTCCACATGCTGCAAGTTATTGTCATGCAGCTCTGGAGGCCAGGGGCCTGGGAAGGTCTTCACTGGGCTAGAATCAAGGTGCTGACAGGGCTGCCATTCTGGAAGCTCCGGGAGGGAAAAAACCCTTCACTGCACCTTTCCAGAGTCAACTAGCCACCTCATTCTCCATCAAGCCCAGTAGCTCAGCATCAGCAAGCTTCTCTCCCCTGTCTGGATCTCATGATTCTTTCACATGTAAGGACATGTATGAGGGGGTTAGTCCACCTAATTAAGTCAGGATAATCTCCCCATCTCAAGGTTCTGACCTTATGGCATATTCAGTCACTTTTGCTATGTACAGTCACATGTTGTTCACAGGTATGGAGAACTAGGTGTGACTCTGTCTCTAAGCAGCCTCAGGGTATGAGAGAGGGACTTATTCTGCCTACCACAAAGGGAATTCAAGAATCACATAGTCTAATTTTGAAAGCAGAAAAGAAGACCTGAAAAGACCTATTGTGGTCCAGAAGAGGATGAAAGAGTTGAATGTGGATCAATGGCAGAAGAGATGGAAAGAGATGTGTGGGGAAGTCTAGATGCCAGTGATGGGGATTGGTGACAGACATGCTTAGTGCTCACTCATAATGTGACTTATATTCCAAGTAGATGAAGAAATTAGTCTCCAAAACCTCTATTGCCTTCCTCTCTCTTCCCTCACAGTTCTTTCAGAATCACATGCACAGGCCATATATAAACATAGTTGTGTTCCAAAATGGAAACATCCTGGGTCTCTGGATGGCTGTGAGAAGCCAAGTTCCACTCCCTCCTCTGATGACCGCAGTGGCCTATGACATGTACAAACAAGAAATGTCATTGTCCTAAGTCTTTGGATTTTAAAATTGACTTGTCCCTAGAGCATAGTATAGGCTGTCCTGACTCATACAGCAGAGACAGAGAGGTACCTTACAGATGTCACCCTGATTTCCAGCTTGGATGGATAGATGGATAGTGGTAGGAAAGGTAGATGGATAAGTATTTGTGGGAGTGGTGAGTGGATTAGTGAGTGCTAAGTAAGTGGGTGGATGGGTGGGTGAGTAGATGAGTGGATATATGAATGCTTAGGTGAGTGGAGGTGGTGGATGAATGGATGGGTGGGTAGATGGGTGAGTGGGTGGATGAGTTGGTGGGTAGATGGGTGGGTGGGTGGGTGGATGGATGGGTAGATGGGTAGGTAGGAGGGTGAATGGGTGGTTGGGTGGGTGGGTGGATGGATGGGTGGATGGTTAGGTGGGA